TGACCACTCACCGGTGTGCCCAAGACAGGACCTGGGTCACTCTAGCCTAGCCTGAAAGCATCCAAAGCAGAGGCACTGTGACCTAGGAGATATTTTCCTGCCAGAGACCAGTGGCTTAGCCACCATATCAGTTTCTTCTTCATGGTCCTAGAAAGTCCAGAGGATACCGAGGGAGGGCAGAGCACCGAGTGAGAGAGAGGAACTCTTGTTTCATAGTCAGACCTGCTGCTGACTTGCTGTGTGGCCTTCTGTAAGAACCTACCCTTTCTGGGCCTGGCTTTCTTCCTTTGTGAGCTGAGGCCATAGTGTTGGTCACTTCTGAGAATGCCACATTTAGAACATGAGATGAGCCATGATACCTGGTAGACAGAGCAGGCAAGGACAGCACTGAAGGCCCAGTGGCTTAGCACAGAAGCACTGGGTATCCACTGGAACTGGATAGCAGATGAGATCGGGTGAGGCAAGGGTTAGGGTCACAGCTGATTCAAAGGGTCAGGGTCAAGGACGAGGTTCAAGGCAGTCTAGATACACGTAAGCATTAGCTCCCATTGGATCCTTCACCCTTGCTTTTCTGAGAGTGTCTCAGCTAGTGGCTTCCTGGTTCCTGTCTGTGAGTCTTTACCACCTACCCCAGGAGTATGGAAGAATGTCATTGCTGAGAAAGGCCACCCATCATAAGCTCTTGCTTGTGGAAGATGGGGAAGAGCAGAGAGAGGGCAATGCACTTGTCCAGGACCACACAGCACAACATGTCAGGCCCAGGGCTTCTGACTTCCTCCTCAGTGCTCCTCCCTGTGATCCATACTGTCTGTCCTTGAGGGTCTTTGAGCCCAGCTTATACCTCTGCAGGGAGGCATTTGAGAAAGAACAATGCTTTCCAACAGGGTACTTGAACATCTTTATGGGACATCCAGCCTCAGGGGTGAGGGAAAGAGCCAGGACAAATAGATAACTGAGGATGCAGTACCCTCCTGGTCCTCTCCCAAGTACTGGAGCAGTAGCAAGCTGGCTGAATCAGTGGGCACTGGTGCCCCCCCTCTACCCCCACCAGCTTCTGTCCCTGTCTGTGCTCCTCATGGCCATTCAGCCTGAGACATGATGTAGGAGTGGGAGGTTCCAGCCCATGCCAGGGAAGCGTGTCCAAGACTTGTATTTGGCCTGCAGATCTCTGTTTCCATTTTGAGAGCAACTACACAGCTCAGCACCTACATCCTCATCCCCCTGAAGATAGTTCCAGTGGCTTCATCCAGACCTGCAGAGATCCTGGTTGCCCAGTAACAGCCAATGACATCAGCCCCAGTGCTAGGTCAAGTGTCTGTCGTTGAAGTTGTTGCTGGGTGACAGCTGGATTCAGAACTTAGACCTCAAGGACTCTGAGCCTCATCAGGCTTTTGCTATTGTTTCAGAAGGTTGCTTTAGAGGATGCCTTGGAGGTCAGAGTCTTAGAAAGGATGTGGCAGAAACTGCAGGGTCATTTGAGCCCACCAGACACATCACCCTGATCCTTTATGCTTTGTCACAGTGGTAATGAGAAATGACACCTCAGCCGCATTCCCATGCCAGGTCACCCTGGTTAAGCTTCAACCACCTCCCGCCCCCCAGGAGAAAGAAATGGAGACACTGGGGCATGTCTCTGAGTGTGGATCACTAGCGAAAGGGCTGGCTCTCTATTTCTAAAGTCCCCACCTGTTCTATTGTGCTATGAATATTCCCTGAGCACGTGGACCCCTGTTTGGATGCCTCTGCTGCTCCCAACAAGACAGCTGCAACCCTGAGCTGCCCCTGGGTCTGATGAAGATGGAGCTGGGCTTATTAGGCAGCCTTAGACACTGCAACTGCCGAGTGCTCTACCTGCACCATCTGGTTGTCCTCACAGCACAGTGACGAGGTAGGACTGTTCTTAGCCGGTGATGCAGGAGAGAAAGATGGGGCTCTGAGAGGGTAAAGTAACTTGCCTGGTATGAATTGGCCAACTGGTAACAGTGCAATTTCTATTTGGAGGCAGGTTACATGCCCAGAGGACAGTGCCACCTCCTTCAGAGTACAGAAGGAGCAGAGATGGGGTGTGGGGCTCAGAGACAGTGAAGGGTCTCTCACCCATGCCTGAGCCTCAGCCTCTGCCTGGGCCGCAGTTTTCAGGGCTGGAAAGGAGTGTCTCTGGAGTGGAGGCAGGAAGGATGGCAGAAGTGGCTCCTCCTCAGCCTCCTGTTCTGGATAAGGCTTGTGCCAGGTGCTCTGAGCTGATCTCTGCCAGCTTCCCCATCTCTGAGGCATGAAGTGGCCTCTCCATTGTCCCAAGGCATCATCTTGCTACAGTTACACATGAACGGGGACCACAGACAGGAGCATGAGGATCTGTGGGAGCGAACTCAACCCTTGGCTTACAAATGGGGAAGCTGAGGCCTGGCCAGGGAACTCACATGACCCTTGAGGCCCTTCTGACTGTGCCTCATCTTCTCCATTTCCCCCAAAACTGGGTCCCATGTACCTATAAGTCCCAGCACCTTTGGCCTGAGGAAACTGAGCAAGTATCTCCTCCCAGATAAGGGCCTCCTCTCTCATCCCTTACCTCCAGCTGCCTGCCACCCCAGATCCCACCTCCCACCTTGTCCCCTGCCTTTGCTGGGTGGGGAACTGGCTCCTTCCCAGACTGAGCAGCCAGCAGCAGCGAGCATGTGAAATCATCATCACAGGACACTGTGAAATGAGTGCCCACTGCTGCCCCCCTCCTCATTTTGCTCTATTTTGTATAGAAATGACATGAGATATTGTATGTGTGTGTGTGTGAGTGTGTGTGTGTGATCTGTGTCATGGTTTTGTTACCATTTTTGTTTTTGTGAATTTGACCTCCCACTTCCCATCACAGGCACCCACACCTCCAGAATGCCCCCTGCCCTGGATGGATGTCTCCTCAGTCACCTGGTAGGGACCATATCTCAAATCAATTGGTCCAACCTAGGGGAGTTGAGGCAGTTCCACCTCCTGGCAATGTACTGGCTTGATCTCTCCCCTCACACACTCTGTCCTCCCACCAGTCACATCAGACCCAGTTTGGCTCTCAGAAAGTATCTTATTACTGGTTTGGGCTGGCTGGCCCTCAGGCCTGTTAGAGATGAGTCCTCCCACAAACTGGCTGAGCCATGTCTCCAGCCCCTCCTTTGTCCCTCATTAGCTATGAGGGTAGCAGCCCAAATCTAGCTTGTTAGGGTTGTCAGGGCCCCTAGACAAATATTTTGGCAAGGACCCACAGAGAAAAACCAAAGATACCCCAAGATTTAGACACATCTCACCTTGAGTTACTCCAAAACAGAAATTGTTCTGTTAAAAATTGCCACCAGGGACAACTGTCCAGTAGTAGCTGGCAACTAAGCATTAAATGTTCTCTGGGTGCCCCTTCTACAGGATATACCCAGGTACAACTGGACTGGGAAAGGTTGGGGGGCTGGTGAGATGGCTCAGTGGTTAAGAGCATTGGCTGCTCTTCCAGATGACCAAGAACTGATTCCCAGCACCTATATAGTGGCGCATAACTGTCTGTAACTTCAGTCTCAGGGGATCTGACTCCCTCTTCTATCTTCGCTGGGCACCAGGCACCAATGTGGTGTACAGTCATACATGAAGGCAACACACCCATACACACTTAAAGAAAAAAATATTTGAGAATTCATATGGGAACCAGTTACAATAAGGGGTCAACAGCAGCAAAAAACAATGCATGATACGTTTGTATGGAAATGCCATCATGAAGCTCATTGTTTTATGATATGTGTGTGTCTACATATAATACATTCATATGCACACAAATATTCATTTTAGACCTGCACAACATCTTGTGCAAAACAAATCATCTTAGATAAAAGCATTGTAAATGATGTGCTCGTTAGCTCACAAATTTGTGTGGAGGTTTTTTAATTTAGTCTGCTTTCTTCCTCCTTCTGGTTGGTAGACACCATGGATTTCATCCCTGCCCTGGACTAGCAGGCAGCAGGCCCTTCGGGCTGCGACACTAGACCAAGAGGCTTGTCTTTTGTTGCCACCTAATGGCCATCCTCTATTATTACAGCTTGGCCCGCTTCCCGTGTTGGCAGGGGTTTAATGATTGGAGGATTCTGAGAAAATGTTCACAAAGATTCCCCAAGATGCTTTGCAGACAGAACATCTCATTCTCCTCCTGTTCTCACATTAATCTGGAACACAAGGACAGACTGTCCTTAGTGCGTGAGGTAGATTCTTGAACCGAAGGAACGGAGGACATCTCTCCAGGTGGACAAAATGATGGGCAGAGGGTGAAAGAGGCTGAAAAACGAACGCAAGCTTCTGTGTCGTTGATTTTCTAATTACAAATCTTACTTTGAACACTCAGGCCTTCTTTAGACTAATCAAACTCTTTAATCTTCTAGTCACATCGGATTACCATAAAATTAGTCAATTTCTTGAGAGGGGTCTGGGGGTTTTTGTTTTAATGTGGAATTTTGAGTTATTGGGGGCACACAAG